TGATTTATCACAGAAACAAAGAAATGAGTTCCATATGTTCTCACTCATAAGGTGACCTTGAACAATTATAATGCTGTAAGAAAGTAATTGGCAGTAGCGGAAAACTGTCAGGGGAAAGGGGGGTGGGACTGGCAGTTGTGGAAAACTGCTAGGGGAGGGAGGGTCATATCTCATCAACAAAGGTACCTGCATGATCAATGTTTGTATACATAACCCTGAATTGTACCCTATATCTTTATAATAAATAAATAATTTTTTTAAAGAAATGGGCAAAAGATATGAATAGACACTTCTTAAAAGAAGACATAAAAGCAGCCAACAGATGCATGAAAAAATGTTCAGCCTTACTAATCATCAAAGAAATGCAAATTAAAACGACACTGAGATATTATATAACTCTAGTCAGACTGGCCATCATCACTAACTCAAAAAATAACAGATGCTGGAGAGGATGTAGAGAAAAGGGAACACTTCTACACTGTACAACCTCTGAGGAAAACAGTGTTTCAATTAATAAAAGATCTAAAAATTGACCTTCTATATGACCCAGCAATACTCATTCTGGGAATATAACCGTGGGAACTCAAATTACTCTATGAAAAAGATACCTTCACATGCATGGTTTTTTGCAGCATTATTCACAATAGCAAAAACAGAGCCAACTGTGCTGCCCATCAAAAGTGGATGGCATAAAATAATGTGGTACATACACATGATGGAATATTACGCAGCCATAAAGAAGGACAAAATTATGAACTTTGCAGCAACTTGGATGGACTTAGAGTGTATAATACTCAGTGATCTATGACAGAAAAAAAAGAACTGAGTACCAAATGTCCTCACTCATAAGCAGAACCTGAACAATTTTTATAATACTATAAGAAAGGGATTAGCAGTAGTGGGCAACTGCCAGGTGAAGGGGGGCACACTTCATCAATAAGGATAACTGATCTCAAACCAGGTGAAGTGAGGACCAAAGTGAGGCCCAAACTTTACCTGTACAATGACCATTTGTATACCTAACCCTGAATTGTACTCCACATCTTTAAAATAAAAATTAATAAGTAAATAAAGTCTAGAGTCTTCATTTTAAGGGTGAATTAGCAATTTCCCTTCTAGATATAAATGAAAAAAAAAAAACATATGTCTATACAAAAACTTGTACCTGACTGTTTATAGCAGCATTATTCATAGTAGCCAAAATGGGGAAATAAATGTCTATATACCAGATGAGAGGATAAAGTGTGATATAAACATACATACACATACAGTGGAATATGATCAGTCATAAAAAGGAATAAAGTTCTAACATATGCTACAACAAGGATGAACCTTGAAAACCTTATACTAGCTGAAAGACAAGGGTCCATAAGAATTATTTCATTTATGTGAAATGTTCATAATAGGCATAGGAACAGTAAGTAGATTAATGGTTGCCATGAGCTTGAGGAATGGAGACTGGGGTAAAATGGGAGATGTCTTTTAATATAGGTCTGGGGTCTTTCTGGGGTGATGAAATGTTTTGAAGCTGATTGTGGTAATGACTGCACAATTCTGTGAGTATGCTACAGATCATTGAATTGTATACTTTAAATGGTGGAATTACATGGTATATGGATTATATTTCAATAAAGCTGTTATACTTGTAAAAGTTAAGTGAATTATAATCCAGAAAAGATAATTTCTTTAATATACAATCCAAATATGATATTTATATTGGCTAGATAAGAACATTTTGAAAAATCTGGACTGCTCAGACAGAAAGAGTAGGTAGGGCTAAGAATCTTTTCATATCCTTTCATAAACCAGGGCTGTAAGATTTTCTTTGGAGAGCAAGAATGAGAAGGGGAGAACCTGAGAAGGGACAAATGTAGAGCCAGAAAATATGGCAAAAGATCCATAGGAGAGGGAATAGAACCTTCTGTACCACTCTAGAAGGCAGTGTAAGCTATATCTAGCTTGCAACATGAGGCATACCTTAATTAATTTGGGCTGCTATAACAAAATACCTTAGATTAGGTGGTTTATAAAAAATAGAAATTTAATTCTAATAGTTATGGAGGCCGGGAAGTCCAAGATCAAGGCACCAGATGTGGTATCTGATGAGGGCTCTCTGCCTCTTAGATGATGCCTTCTCACTGTGTCCTCACATAAACGAAGGGATAAATGAACTCCCTTGGGCCTTTTTTATGAGGGCACTTACCCATTCATGAGGGCTCTACTCTCACTCATGATCTACTCACTTTCTAAAGGTCTCCTAATACTAATACTATCACACTTGAAAATTAGGATTTCAACATGTGATTTTGGAGGGTACACATTCAGATCATAGCAGGGCAGAATAGGGTTAATGCCACATATAGCTTAGGGTAGATTTCTTAGGATCTGAGTGAAGGCACTATATAGTCTTAGTAGCAAAGATGACTCTGATATCAGTGCAGGCTGTATCACTGTGACAGACCTGGGACCCCAGAGAAATGATCACACACCCACCTTCCTATCCCTCTCAAAGACTGAGAAGCAGGTTAAAAGTAAGTGACCATGCTGAGAGTACCTGGTGAATCAGAATACTTTTCTTTATAGTAAATAATCTTCACTCTAGCAATTCTTCACCAACTTGCCTTCTTTCAGTATACTGAACTACTTCAGGGAAATTATAGGTATTTTATGGACTAAAGGGAACAGGGAAGGGAAGATGTAGGAAATTTTAGGTTCCCAACCTTGATTGGAAGTGGTCTAAGGACTTTCCTAAGGAGTTTTTCTCATTTGACATGTACAAAATAGGTAATAGTACAGCTCATTAGTATTATGTTGTAGGGTTTACAAAGCAATGTCATATGTACCATTTTAGTTTAATAGCTAAAATATTATTCAAATATTATTATTGGATATTATTCAAAGGACTTAAAAGATCTGGCTTCAAAGGAGGCTGGTTTGGTGTTAAAAAAGTAGAAATTAGATTTCACTTGACCAGGGATTTGTTTATTCTTATTCTCCAAAAATAGAAATTAGGTTAAAAAAAACATTTGCTAAACACCCCTTCTCAGCCACACCCTTTTTCAGATGTTGGGGACAGAGCAGAATATGGTCCCTGCCCTTAGAGAAGCTCATAGCCTTACTCTATGATAAGTGTTATTATGTGGGAAATATAGTATGCTTTGGGAGCAAAGAGAGGTTCTTTCCTAGCTGCGACTGGTGAAGAGGGTGTGTAGATGTAGTCAATGAAGGAATCTCTGAGCAAAGTCTTTAGAAATATACAGAAATCACTAATTTATTCAATTATTCAACCAATACAATTTAAGTAGCTACCATGCAGGCTCTTTGGTAGGCACTAAGGATAAGCAATTGGCCAAACAATGAGAAAAGGTATGTCCCAGGTATAGAAAATACTGTGAACAAAGACACAGAGGCATCAAACTACATGTGGTGCCTGGAAAAAATAGAAACAATTCTGTATGACTAGAAAGCAAAGTGAAGCCAGGCTCGGTGGTTCAGCCTGTAATCCCGCGCTTTGTGAGGCTGAGGTGAGTGGATTGCCTGAGCCCGCGGGTACGAGACTCACCTGGGAAACTTGGCGAGACCTCATCTCTACAATAAATCAAAAAGTCAGCCGGGCATAGTAGCGCATGCCTGTAATTCCGGCTACTTGGAAGGCTGAGGCGGAAGGATCGCCGGAGCTCAGCAGGTGGAGGCTGCGGTGGCCGGGAGCGGCCACTGCACTCCAGTCTGGGCGACAGAGCGAGACTCCAACTCAAAAAAAAAAAAAAAGAGAAAGAAAGAAAGCAAAGTGAGAAGATGGCAAGTGATAGTGAGAGATAGAAGATAGGCGGTACCAGGACCTAGTTTTGAACATCTTAACCATGCTAAGGAGTTTAATTATTATCACGTAAACAATAAAGAGCCACTGAAGGGTTTAAGTAGGATTGGTGAGTTTTTAAAAGATGACTCTGGCTACAGAGCAGATGATCAATGTTGAATCTGAAGACTAGACACAAGGACGGAAAAAGGAACTTGCGTAAGGACAATAACATGAAGAGGTAGATTATATACTTGGAAAGACCCTCTGCAGGGGCCCTTTCTGTTCCCCTTGGCACCCAAACTTATGTGTCATAGACTTGCTGGTGAAGAGGCTAACCTCTAACAACCTAAGGTGTATAGAGAAATAAATAGCTGATGCTGGCTTAATGTGTAGCTCTCCTAAGATTTGCATCTTAACTAAGAGTTTGAACTGTCTGTGATTCAGAGGCGTGAAAAGAAAGAACAAAATGTCTCTACCCAGAATCTCATACTGAAGGTAAGTCTGCTCATTAAGTACCCCAGGTAGATGGGAGGAAAGACATTGTAAAGAATAACCCATAGAAGCAATGCTTTCAGTGAGTGGCTGTTCCACCAATGGGAAAAGGAAAAGTAGCCACAAGTATAGGACAGATTGGCAGGAGCAAATGGAAGTGGTGAAGAAACAGAGGAAAGACAACAGACTCACAGCACCCCCTCCCCATCTGTCAAAAGGAGATGCTAATTAAAATCTTTGGAGTCCAGGATATATATCAAGAGACCTTTGGATTTGCTGTTCTGAATAAAAGCATCTCTGTGAGAAAATAAAGAAGACCTACACCGGAAATGTACTGCAAAGTCACAGATTTAAACCACCTTCACTGAAGCTGAAGAGGGATTGTTCCCCCTACCCTTCCTCCTCTCAACCCACCAACTACACCCCCACATGTGCCTAATGGTCGAAAACCACAGCATCCAAGCAGGGCCTCTCCAGCAAAAGTTGAAGATGATGATGCTTCAGGGGTCATTGGTTTAAGAAATAAGCCAAGGCGAATGATATGAAGGTTGTTGAAAAAATGAACGGGATAAGACATTATTCCTGTTTAAGTGATGAAAAAATGAGACGCCTGGGGAATAAAAAAAAGTACAGTAAGATCAAACAGTGGATAAGAATAAAGGTAGTTATATGGGGGTACTTTACTGTAAAGTCCCCTTCAAAGGTGCAATTTGTCTTAGCAAAATTGTTGTGCACATGTAGGACCATTGAGATAGAAATGAAGAAGGGGAAAATATGAATGTCAAAATCCTTCAGTGATCATCTAAACTCTTTTATTTTTTTCAGGGTTGGAGGAAAAGAACATATCTGAGAGAAAATGAAAGCAACTTCAGGGAAAAGAGAATTTGCTCTTTCTCCTATGAACTCTATGATGAAAGCAGTCATTTCTCTTATTTTGTGTAATGTGCTGAGTTGTAAAACAAAGAGCCAGTATTTGAGCTTGCATTTGACAGTGTAATAAATGCAATTATAATCATTTGCATATTAAAGGCATTATTATTCATGGCAAATATTTCCAAAAAGATGGAATTGAAAAGAATCCTTCCACATGCTTTTGTCAGATTTGACATAATCTGAAACCATGCTGTGTCAAACTGTCAATTGCAGTAATTCTCCAAAGCTACCACAGATCTTATTCCAATCTCTTTTAAGACTCACTTGATGCCAAATAATTGAAAATAACCATTGGTTGTGATATGTTAATTTTATGCAAAGAAAATAATAGGGTACTGATGTTATACTTGCAGCCAACCATTTTGTGTGTGTGTTGGGGGGGAACTGTACTAAATTTTTAGTCTTGTGACAGCTTGCTTTAAGCAGCAGACTCTTTATATTGTCACTTTGGGACTTTATTTAAAATGAAATATTCCAGAATGATGAGATTTGAGATTTCCTTTCTCAGGAACATAGTATCCTGTCTTAGTTGCAACACATAAAATATCTTGTATCCAAATTTTTCTTGAGTTGCAAATTTAAGGTCGAGTAAAAGACCTCCCCACTGCCTCTCTCATAGTAACTTATGATACCACCCGTTATCTCTCTTTAACATCTCTTAAGTCAGGGGGTCCCAACCACCAGGTCGCAGACCTTATCAGTCCATGGACTGTTAGGAACCGGGCCACACAGCAGGAAGTGAGCAGTGGGCGAGCAGAGCTCTGCCTCCTGTCACATCAGTAGCGCATTAGATTCTCATAGGAGCACAAACTGTATAGTGAACTGCGCATGCAAGGGATCTAGGTTGCATGCTCCTTATGAGAATCTAATGCCTGATGATCCCCACCTCACGTCTGTGGAAAAATTGTCTTCCATGAAACTGATCCTGGTGCCAAAAATGTTGAGAACTACTGCCTTAAGTGACCTATAAAGGTAAATTTCAAAGACTTGCAACACTCAAAGCCTTCTAAACTAATGTTCACTTAACGGGTTTCAAATATACCTTCCTGTCTATCTAGGGTATTTTAATAGAATTACAGATCACCTATAGCTTAAAATATAAATGGAAGATGTAGCTTAGATTGAACCCTTGAAAATAAAGTGAAAAGTTAATAAGATTTAAATTAGTAACATCTAAAACCATCCCTTTAAGAAAACTATTGATTTTAAAGAATTTTCTAATGAAAAAGAATGGCATTCATTTAGGCTTGACCTGAGACACATTATAGATTCATTTATCAGAATAAATAAGAATGCGACTATTAGTGAAGAAGTTTCCATCCTGACTAGGTCACTCTCTTGCAACCTCTTTTTGAGAAAATGATGTTGGAGAATATCCTAGTTATTGTTTGGGCCCCATTATGTCTACTCCTCCTCCCCACCACTTGTACATTTGCACTCTTCTCCTCCACACACCCACATTGGCTTCTCATTCCCCTAGTATTAATTTATTCCATTACTGGCTTTCTTTAAATGTTTTCTTCTCATGAACACAATTTTACATTACAACTCTGCATTAGCATTTGCTATTGAACACCTGAAATTATTCCTTTAATCCTTCAAACACCTAGTTTAAGAACTCTTCCATAAAGCCTCCTTAGGGTCTTTGCATTTACATATTCATTTGTACTCTGGGGTAGGCTACTTCATGAATACTGTATCAATGTGTTTGCATTTGGCTTTGAGTAGTAAGGGAAAACCCAATATCAGTGACTGAAGCAAATGAGCATTTTTTTTCCTCTCATAACAAAAAGGCCAGAGGTAAGCACACAAAGGTTGCTACAGCTACTTCACAATGTCATCCACATTCCAGGTTCAAGATATCCTTTTACTCTTTGACATTTGATTGTCATCTTTGTGCTTGTCGCGTCAATAGTCCCAGGCTGGTTGTTTCACCTTCAGCCTAATATCTGCATTCTAGTCAAGTAGAGAAGGAAAGCAAGAAGAGATGGTGCCTAATCTCAGCATATGTACCATTGGGCAGACATCTGTCACACAGCCACCTCACATGCAAGCAAATCTGAGAAGGCAAATTGCTGCCAACAACAAAATTGGGGTTCTGATAGAATGCTAAAAGGAGAATGAGATTTCAGTAGCATTTTCAGCTACAGTGTAACTTACTCGTGTTAAATGTGACCACAACCCATTCTCTAATTGAACTATAAACTTCCTGATGTCAGAGGTCATTAATTTTATTTATTTTGTATCTTTCTCCTCCCCTTAACATACTTGAACTATTTCATGCCTGACAGTAACTGAATGAACTAAGTAGACAGCTCTATTCATGTCTACTTCTACCTCTGTGCTAGATGGCAACTGTCTGTGTAAGCATGAACTTAGTTCATAAAACGAGAGTGGTATTTTGTTTTCTATGAAATAATTTCCAACCTGCAATGAATTGAATGTGTGTGTTCCCCCCAAATTCATGTGTTTAAACCCTAATCCCAATTCAGTAGTATTTGGAAGTGAGGCTTTTGGGTGATGATTATGTCATGAGGGTGGAGCCCACAAGAATGGGATCAGTGCCCTTATAAGAAGAGACATGAGAGCTAGCTCTCTTTCTACCATGTGAGGACTCAAGAAGTCAGCAGTCTACAATTTGGAAGGGAGCCCTCACCAGAACCTGACCATGCTGGCACCCTGATCTCAGGCTTCCAGCTTCTAGAACTGTGAGAAATAAATTTCTATTGTTTAGTAGCTACCCAGTCTGTGGTATTTTGTTATAGCAGCCCAAACTAAGAAAAAACACTTACTTGGTGTCTGAGAACCTCTTCAACCTCATCTCTCCCTACCAACCTCTCTAGCTTTACATCCCATTACTCCTTTCCATATTTTCTTCCCTTTCTCAAATTTAACTACACATTGTTCAGAATTCAATCTATATTTAAGGGAGGACCCCCAAAAACCTGGAATTTATTTATAAAATAATTGAATTTATTTTTACATCTTTAAACTTTAGTCACCTTCAAAGTACTATCCATTTGATGCCATAAACCTATGAGATGCTTTTATCATTGCTCAAAACAGTTTCTGAACTCATCCATTTTGATGTGTATCAGTGCTTCTACCATTTTTTGTTTCACCTCTTCCACATTGGCAAAACGTTTCCCTTTGAGGACATTTTTTCATGGAGGAAACAAAAAAAAAAACATGTCACTTGGGGCAAGATCAGGTGAATAGGGAGGGTGAATGAGGGTCAGGATGTTTTTGGTCTAAAACTGCTGAATACTCAGTGAGGTATGTGCAGGTGAGCTCATAAATCACTCATCATACAATGGGCAAACACCTTGAAAGAATCTCAGAAAAATTCACTGAAGCCAAATGCAGCCTCTCACAACAATGCTAGCTGGTAAACTGACCCTGATGGGTCCCTAGAACACTTACCTACTGGGGAAAACCTGTACTACAAGGGGCTCACTCTTCAAAAAACAATTCCAGTTTATGTTGGGTCCCCTCTCATATGACTTGTTTTGTGTAAATAATATTTGAAAGAACAACAAAGAAACAAACAAGTAGTGACAACAACAAACCTGGCATTTGAATTTGTCCTCTTACCACATTCAATATTTCCTCTTTTCTGATTAAATGAGATAATGTATGTGAGAGTAGTAGTTGGAGGAGGAGAAATTACTATGCCTCTATATTTCCTTTCTAACCATACCTAATGTATGGTAAGTTTTCTTTTTAGCAATCTAAGGCGAAGTTATACATAAAATATTAGCAGTATCAAGAGAGTGATTTATTTGTCTTTACAGCTGCTCCACTATCAAGATTCTAAAAGCATTTAACCTTATCTCTGTGGAGGTCTAAAAAAGCACCAGCATGGGTCCAGGAAGAATAGCCTGACAGTTTTCCACCATATGGGCTACTAGCATGATGGAGCCAGACCTGTAGAGAGAGAGAGGGAAGAGAGGTGGAAAGGATAAGAGGGAAAGTACTCCCAAGTACTAATTAAAGGGTGACTTTCTATGGGCTACAAAGTCAAGAAATGCTGAACACTAACCTTTGGTCTTTAAGAATATTCATATTTAGCTACTTCTGAAAATGCCTTATTTTTATAACAGAATGAGCCTTTTAGACATGATGGAGCATTACATGGAATTACATAGCCTAAAAACCTGATACATAGAAGTTACTCAATAAAAAGCAGGCATTCCCCCCCGACCCCCGCAGTACCCCAACCCCAAAGGAATTATTTCTTCTTCTAACTTCTTGTAGCATCTTGCCTTTACATCTCTTTTGGTGATTTTCATTTTCTACTTTTTTGTAATTATATCTTATTGGATTATAAACACCTTGAAGGTGGGGCATGGCTTATTTAACCTCATAAATGCCACAAGGCCCACTGATAGTGCCTCAAAGATGACAGGTGCTCCATTGTTGAATGAGTGACTGAAAAAATTAAATGAATGCCTTAATTCTTGCAAAGTAAAATTTGAAACATCTAAATGGATTTTCTTGCTGGTTAGTTGAGGCATTTGGGAAGGGCACAAAGGAAGATTTAATTTTAGTGGCTGTCACCTGACTAAGCACAAACAGGCAGCCACCATTTAATTCAACAAAGACTTATTGGGAATAACTGCATCACATTATCCTTGACCATGA